ATCTAAAACCTGCAGGACACCCGCCCTTGAGGCCTGGAGTTCCCCACCCCTGTGTTAATGGGTAACTTGGGCTCCATTTGTTAAATATAAACCTAATTATCTGTTGACATCCCCGATAAACTGATTGTTAGCATTTAATAAATTCAAAGAGCTGCAGGAACTCTGTGGAATAAAGTTTGTCAGGTTCCTTCAATGAGATGTGGAAACTCCAGTGAGAACATTTCAGTTTCAGAGTTGCCTCTTTTTGTAGTGAATCTCAGCTCTAATCTGCATGAAGCAGAGGAACTTGTTTCCTACTTAGTCACCACCACCAGTAAAAGTCTGCTTCAGATCCGAGGTCTCAGGTTTCACCTCACATCATCCAGGCTGCCCAGTGTTCGAGACATCAGCCTCATTTTCGACAAAAAACACTTTGTGGTGCTCAAAGAAATCAAGAGCCTCTAATCCCATTAAAATATCCAAAAAACACTCGTGCTTTTTTCATGCAGGGACTATTTTCTTTCTGTTGTCTACACCCGCTCAGTGTGAGCCCTTCATCACAGGTACAGTTCAGGTAAAACATTAAGAGCTGCAGTTCCTCCAACGGCCGCTTGGAGGCTCCATAAGTCTCCACCTTTATATGAACTTTATTTAATAACTCACCTGTTTGAAGCTTCAGGTTTGGTGGGAGACTCCAGGACATGTGCTGCAACTTCAGTGACGTGCAAATATTTTATTAACCTGTGTCTATGTGTAAACCTCTCCATCCAAATATGGTCATTTAATACCGTTACTCATGTAATACCGCTTTGAACCACAGGGTGGAGCAGCGAGTCAGTGCTGAATGCAATCTAAGGTGTGGGTAGTCATCTGTGCAAAATGCATGTTAGTCAGTGCAGACAGGTCATTTTTATGTGTGAGTGCATCATTTCTGTTTGAAATAGAAATCACTCCCAAGAAACCACACAGATCATCTCAGAGTTTAAATTTAATGACATCCCTTCCAGACGACCTGTTTGGCAGCAGTGTTCAAACTGAAGCCTGCAGCAGCCGACATGAGTGTAAGTGTGCGTCTGCAGACCCGTGTGTCACTCAGCCTGCAGATCCTCGGGGTGATGAATTAAAACCAGTTTTATCCAACAGCTTTAAAAATATTTATTTTAAGAATTTAAATAATTACATCATGCCAGAGGATTTTATTATGAATTTATTATTTAAAACAGACATTTTAAGGTTTTTAAATCAAAATATTAAATATATCCGACTGCACTGAAACTCAAACTGAACGACGTGCTGACTCGAACAAACTGTTTTAAACAGAAATGATGCACTGAGATGAAACACGGAGCTCAAAGCTCGAGCAGACGACTCCAAACCCGAGTGGAGCGTCGCCGCCTCCCTGTGGTCAAAGTGCTCGTTACATTTTTCAGTTGTT